TAGGTCAATCATCACCTAATGGAAGGTGAAGTCAAGTGTGTGACATTGATGATGCATTATTAAACACAGAATGCAAATTGACTGTATTCTTGGAATTCCCAGATGACCTGCTCACTTAATTTGCCTGAATGTCCAGCACAAACAGAGCACTTTGTGTGGAAAACTATGATAAAAGCTCTATCATCTCATTCAATCCAGCTTGATATACTACACTCACCGGCCATTTGATTAGGGACACATTTTGCCTACAAAACTGCCTTAATCCTTCGTGGCATAGATTCAACAAGGTACTGGAATTATTCCTGAGAGATTTTGGTCCATATTGACATAATAGCATCACACAGTTGCTGCAGATTTGTCAGTGTATGATGCGAATATCCCATTCCACCACATCACAAAGGTGCTTCATTAGATTGAGATCTGGTGACTGCGGAGGCCATTGGAGTACAGTGAACTCATTGTCATGTTTAAGAAACCAGTCTGAGATTATTTGCGCTTTATGACATGGCTCGTTATCCTGCTGTAAGTAGCTGTCAGAAGATGGGTACACTGTGGTCATAAAGGGATGGACATGCTCAGCAACAATGCCCAGGAAGGCTGTGGCGTTGACATGATGCTCAATTGGTACTGATGGACCCAAAGTGTGCCAAAAAAATATCCCTCACATCATTACACCACCACCATCATCCAAAACTGTTGATACAAGGCAAGAAGGATCCATGCTTTTATGACTCCATCCTAATGTTGGCTTGAACTGCAGCAGATCTTCTTGACCATGTGGTTGGCTGATTAGAAATTTTCCTTAACAAACAGTTGGACAGGTGTACCTAATAAAGTGGCCGGTGAGTGTATATTTAAAATGACACATTTTTTTAAACCCAGTCAACAAAGGTGTTGTATCTCTATGAAGCTTCTCCATGAAGGAGTCTGCAGAATTTCTCCTGAAGTGGAATTACTGGCAGTCTGAGTTTATCCTTTAGGAAATAGAGGAACTAATCACAGTGACTGCGTCAGAACGTTTTCCCAACAGAAATCTCTGTTTCTATGTTTCACACCCGGGAAAAGTGTCATCCTCTGCGTCAGAGTGTTTGTAAGCTCTCCTATTTGTTTCAAGATTGTAAGTTTACATCAAAGAGTGCTTATCTAGTCATTCTGCGGGTTGTAAACAAAATATGGCTCAGTCATGGGCCTTCTCTAAATGTTTAGAAAAGACTTATGGGTTATTACCGTTTATCTAAACAGGAAAGAATCACCCACGCTAGCCTGACTGGATCTTTCATATACACACTGCATTGTTTATGTTTCATACTCTGCCTTGTTTTTCAGGAAAATATCACAGTTCATTTTCTTGTCGGCTTAGTCCCTTTATTAATCCGGGGTCGCCACAGCGGAATGAACCGCCAATTTATCCAGCAAGTTTTTACGCAGCGGATGCCCTTCCAGCCGCAACCCATCTCTGGGAAACATCCACACTCACACTCATACACTACAGACAATTTGGCCTACCCAATTCACCTGTATCGCATGTCTTTGGACTGTGGGGGAAACCGGAGCACCCGGAGGAAACCCACACGAACGCAGGGAGAACATTCAAACTCCACACAGAAACGCCAACTGAACCAAGGCTCGAACCAGCAACCTTCTTGCTGTGAGGCAACAGCACTACCTACTGCGCCACTGATTCGCCTAAGTTATCACAATGTAGATACATTATTCTGCAAAGCAAAACACATTAAATGTAAGTTTTCTGGAGGAAATATCAAAATAAGTTAATGTCCAAAACAGATAAATATCGAAGAAAAGTTTACCTTGTTTTCAGATTTATGAATTTTTTTTTTGCTTAATTTAATAGTAAGCGTCCTTAATTTGATAGATTTGTTTTAATTGGATATTTTTATCTAAAGAAAATAAGACTTCCTTAAGCATTTTTGTTTTTATTATATTTCAGATTAAACCCTATTCAATGGGTCTGCGCATGCAAACCAGCGGTTAACAATGTCATCATGTAGAATAGGAAATTTGCCTACAGGCTTTTCATTTCAGTCAGCCAGCCTCAGCGCTTCCAGTGAACTGTCTTTCCATTTGGCACATTTAAGGTCTGATTTCTTTACAAATCTGTAATCTTCACCCTCTGATAGATATATGCTAGAATGTGGGTCTCAGACCAAACAAGAAGCACTGCATTAAAATCCATTTCCCCCACTAGGGGCCCTATCGTACACCCGGCGCAATGTGGCGCAAGGCGTGACGCAACTGTTATTTGCTAGTTTCAGATCAGCGCAAGAGTCGTTTTGACATTTTGCGCCAAGCTGTTTAAATAGCAAATGCATTTGCGCTTATATGTGCGCCCATAGGCGTTCTGGTCTAAAAAAAGCAAGCGTTCTGAGGCGGACCGCTGGCGCATTGCTATTTTGAGAAACTGTAATAGTCTGTTCTTTAGACCAGAACTGGTTTAAAAAGTCCGACGCACAGGGCCGGCCCAAGGCATAGGCAGTATAGGCTAATGCTAAGAGCGCTGTACATCCAGGGGGGCGCCAGAAATGAATGCGGTTAAGTTGGTTTTGTTTTCAATATTCCTGATACGTTCAGTGATAGACTGAAATAACTCAAAAACCTCTTACCCTAAAAAGATCTAAAGTGTGTTTCCTACAAAAAGGCAAAGCTGGTTGTGTTTCACAGCTGTATTTTTCTTTTTTTTTTTTGCTCAACATTATGACCACTGCTCCATTTAAGCCCTCGCCAATATGCGTTCAGCCGGGAGAGCTCGCACCGAGCGGAGGTCTTAGTAAGGGACCGTCGGGAAAGTGCTTCCTTTTTTTCGGGCTTCGTCTTGCGTGTTTTACTTTAAACACAACTAATTTTCTCTTAAATGAGCACAAACAGTGACTAAATTAGTCGAATGCTTCATTATAGATCTGTGCATTCTTACATTAACACCTCTGTTATCAAGCAAATCACAATGAGAGATTCACTAGCTGCTCTTCACTAAATAATTATAGTAACTTTAATCAATATGCAAATACAATTAAAAGTGAAGTAGATTTTATAGCTTTATTTAGTTTCTGTATAGGCCATTGTTTTTAATAAGCTAAACCTTTTATTTTTTTGTCAATATTTTCTAACGTTTGCTATGTATTCTATCATTTGAAGCTATTTGTTGTCCCATATTTTTTACATCCAACGTTGGACAGATTGCTAATCAATAAATAGCTATAGTGCTATCTGTTAGTTTTGACGTCA